AGGCTCCATTGGATGTCAGCGGTGCAGCTCCAGCCTGACCTCAACATAAAAGAGATCGGAGCCTGTTTGGCTAAGTTTTGGCATTCAAAAAATGTTAAGTATGTGTCTTATGATAACGGACCCATACATTCTGCCATCCTGTTAACTCCTGTCACACGAGCATGCTCTCTCTTCTAACCAGCTATTTTGACCAGAACCAGTGACTAATGGAAGGTATTTGTAGAAAGCATGCTGTTCCCAACTGACCAGCAGTAAATTGCCAGTGACTGACATCAGAGCGACTGTTTTCCAAAGAGGAGTAGTTGAAAGCCCACTGCACACAGCACCAATCACATTTAACATCAAAACGAACCACTAATACTGGCCCCTGCCATCTATCCTGGCTACTACTTGCCTTCTTTCTCTGGCTCATCTGTAAGACCACACTGAAACACTGCAAACATTTATTTGTTTACACAAACGTGAAATTTGATTCAAAACACCTTGGTAATGTGACCTTCTAAACTGATGGACAACATGTTCAAAATACAAATGCACTGCACAGAGCAGTTCTGCAGTGTTCAGGAGATGGATTGTAAGACTTAATAGATCATTTCCATCTCTGAAATTTCTGAGTCATGATGAATGGAATATTTTAGTATTTTAAACAAGAGGGAGGCATGTTTAAAAAGACTGAGAGGGATGCAGTGTAAAATCTTTGTACTGTAAAAAGGCACTCTTGGTTTTTACTGCCCTTGTGGGAAGTCTCCTGTGAACCAAGCAGCCAATAAATCAAACAAATATTTCTGAATTAAATCCATTTTCTCTTAGGCTTTGAGGAGTTAAAAAAAAATAATCACACACACACACACAGAAAGCCCACAAAACCAGCAATATATTGAATTGCCTTTCATGGTTATACCTGCAGATGGCTTTTGAATTTGAGAGCAAGAAGCACTTAAACTCATGGTGTTTCACAAATCACCTAAATTCATTATATCACCTGTGCCAGTTACTGTATTTGTAGGGCAGTAAATAGTGGCCTTTGTTGTTTGCTTTTCATGGGACTGTGCAAAAGAACAAGTTTAGTCTGTCTCCAGAGATACATGCCTACCTTACTGGCACCAGAAATATCGTACTAGCTTAAATCCGTGCAGTCTTTCCATGCTGTCACTGCCTCCCGTTTCGATGCACACTGCTGTGCTGATACCCTTTGAGTCAGGGCCCCTTCTTGAAAAATTTAACAAGTGCAGCTCAGGCATGTTATGAGCAGCTAATGAATTTCCACACCTAAGAGGGTATGTGGGATCTGGTATCTGGTTTCCTTTATAAGCAGATGGAGAAGTGAAAGTCCTTATGTTGGCTTGTCAATTCCTTATCTCTAGCTCTCCAGAAAAGCAGGAAAACGAAGGCAAGGAGGTGAATGAACCAGATATCCTGTAACTCAGCTCTTCTTACAAGCAGTTAAATTTGCATAGAAGCTCAAGAGAGAGGAAAAATCCAGGTGGAGTACTGCAGTTTTTGCAAATGAGCCACATGAGTTGTGTTAGGGCACATCACAGGGATCAGCACTAAGCCGTTCTGAAGGGGTAACAGAGTACACAGTAGCCTTGATGGCAGTATCTCTACTGCTCTCTGGGGTGGAAGTCTTTGGGAAGAGCATCTCACAACCCCTCACCTGTTGCATTTATGATCCCTACTCATCCTTCCCTTTCAATCACACAGTCCTTTCCTCTTCCGATTCTTCTCACTTCTTCAATTTACCATTTTACAACTTGAGTCTAACTTTGCAGTTGCTTACATGTCAAAGGATTTATTTAGGAGCTGGAAATAACCATGTGAATATCAGGTTCTTGCCAGACACATAAGGTGCTTGCGGGTCACAATTTGAAGACATTTTGATGCAAGCATAGCCCAGAATATATACAGCATGAGCTGCTAGAGTGTTTTCTCAATCAAGTCACTGAGGATTTTGCAAGGAAGGGACAACATGAATTTTTTTATCTGCTGTTTTTTGGCAGTTCTAGGGGGGGTGTGACTGGCTGCTTAAAGATATTTTCCACACTCCTTATCTTTTTTTTTTCTTTTTTTTTTTCTTGAGTGCCACATGGTCTGTCATTTCCCTGGGCACTGATAGAGGCCCCAAGGGGGCCTTATCTGCAAGTAAAAGACAGAGCTAAGCAATGGTGATTAAAATGCAAAATGTTAAAGGTGTGTTGCTGTTGTTAGAGAAGCCAGCTTCAAGCTTCTCCTCCTCTCTGTCATCACTTTCTTAGCGCTTTTTCATGAGCTCTATGATGCTACTTGTAAACCCCTGGTGAACCATGCCTACAGATGACAGATTGAAGGGGCACATAGCAATTCATATCACTGAAAACCTTTTACAAATCCTGCCCTGGGTATTGCCCCAAAATATTCTTTTGCTGTGTTAGTACTGAGGTCTTAAATTCTTAGCTCTTCATCTATACATTTCCAAGCCCTATCAGTGGATGGACGATAGCTTGCCTCACCTCTTCTCTCTTTTCACTTTCTACTTTTCAGGTGTTGCCCAACTACAAAGTCTGAATCATTTTTTAATTCCAACCCCATCCAAAAAGATTCTCATTGATTCCACAGTTAATTTATCTCTCTCTCTTTTTTTTTTTTCTTTTTCAGCCATGCTGGCTTTTAGCCTGGCTGCAAGTTCTCCTCCAATAGTTTGAGAGACAAATTTCTGTCAGGTGTGATGGAAGAGCAGTGGTTTCAGAAACAATTACCTTCCTAGAAGATTTGTTAATACCAACAGCATCTCAGAGGAGAAAGAAATAAACTTGTGCTCCCAGTGAGAAAACATCATTATTGTTCTTGGCAGCTGGTACACTCTGGCCAACCTGTACCTACCACTTTTTACCTAGCGGGGTTGATGATCACAGTGTGGGGAGGAGATGAAATCAATGTAGTAGGGAAGGAGGTGAGCCGAGGGATGCAGGGAATAAATATATCATAAATCAGGCCTGCTTACTGCCAGCTCTCCACACAGGAACTGTTTTGGGCCTAAATTAAATCTAAGTTGTTTTATTTCAAACATGTCAAAAGCTTGACTGCAGCTTCAAACAGCATTATTTTTGCGGAGGTAAAACCGGTACCTAATATTATTTTAACAAGGCCTTTTAAAATGTGCATACATTTCCAGTCAGCCAGATTCTTTCTTTTTGCTGAATACTGAACATTCTTTTCTTCCCCTCACTGTTGTCTTTGGCTGTCGAAATCGTACTTTCCACTTTTACAAAAACTGTAGGGGTATTATGACTGCATGTATAGATTCAAGTAGACTGTTTGCTTTCTAACAAAATGGCTATGTTAACTCACCTCAGAGAAGTTCAAGGGCTTATATACAATGCCTGTGTAGCTGTGGCTGCAAATGCAATTCCGTGCATTTTCTAGTAGATTGCTGTGGTGAATAGCTGAAAAGAGCAATGTTCTTCCTTACAGGAGACTGCACTTCAATGACAAAATGATGCCTCCACAAACTACACAGAATGGGGTCCTTGAGGAAAACTGGAATGCAATTGCGTGTTATAATCTGTCTTAACAAACTGTTTTCTCCACAGGCATAAGTAAAATGTCCTGCCTGGAAGTTCGTATAGCTAAGTGTTTTCCACCATAACAAGCAAAGCTGCATAATGTTTCACATTTTCTTATCTTATCAAATTATGAATATTAATTAGTATCTTCTGATAGCACTTCCAGGAGAAAGTGTCATTATTCCTGCTTGTGCAAGAGGCAGAAGGAGCCATTTGTCCGGAGCCACAATGACACAGCAAGATGGTAAGTGTCTGGGCTCCTTTTGCGCAAAGAATTAAACGCTGGTGTGTGAAAAAGACTTGCTTAGCTACAAAATCTACTTCAACATTTTATTAACCCATTTTAGCATGGGTTTATTCACAGAGAACTTCATCCTATGACATTAAGTCATAGGCATTTTTACCCATTACTAGTTTATCAAGCTTACAAAGAGCCATGGTTTACCTGCGCTACAAATCCAAAGAGCCATACTTTGATTACAGGCTTAGGTTTTTTGCCCTGGCACTTGTGCTTTGTAGAAGGTTTTCCAAGGGATTTGTTTGCTGTGCACACAGAATGGCTGGGGGGGTCAGACGGAGAGCCCAGGTCACGTTGGTCCTAATGCAGCACATCCATGGAGTTGGACACGTTCCGTTTGGCCTAACACAGCATAAAACTTCACTTGAAAACTCCTGGAGTTTTCCTTCTTGGGTTGGGGAGGTTTCACCAGATCCGTTTACCTTATAAAAACACATATGTAGAAAGGGTATAAAATGACTAACTGAGCAGCAGTAAAGTTCGGTGCAATAGAAACTGAAATATTGCCAGTTTCAGAGAGTTCAGGGCAACCACCCCCAGCCCTGCTCTCGTAATGATGGAAATCATTCCGTGGCCCCTTGCTGCTGCTTTGGCTCTTGGCAGATTATTTGATGATAAAATCTGCCATTAGCAGTAGCACAGCTTTTTGCCCACCGTATGGCACTCAGTGGCTGATTAGCCATCGTCCTTTTTAAGCTAATAGCAAAATTAAGAGGAATGCTTGTTGTTTCTGTTTTGTTTATCGCCGTTCATTGCAGCCCTACACGCACTGACCGACACGGCCCTGCTGGGAGTCCCAGCCGAGCTGCCCTGCTTTTGGGGGAAAGGCCTGGCAGCGGCAGGACAGATTTTGCAATGGGAATTCCTGTCATTTCGATCAAACCGTTGCTCACAAGGACGGCACACGGCTGAACTGTAAGCGCTGCGACGCGTCGCGTCTCTACGTTAAATCCCCCCTGCCTGAGCCCAGCAGCGGCCAGCAGGGCTTCGGGGGCGCGCTGCCCCTTTAAGGCCGGCCGAGGCCGGGAGCGGCGCCATAACAACGGCTTGACGGCCGTGACCGGAAGCGATTGGGGGTCAGAGGTCGCCGCTGGCAGCGGGAACATGGCGGCCGTGGCCGCGGCGGCGCTGGGCGCCGTTGTGGCCGCGCTCGGCGGGGCGGCGGTTCCGTGAGCGAGGCGGGAGCCTCCCGCCGCTGCGCTGCCCCTTTTCAGGTGAGGGCGGGCTCCGGGGAGCTTTTGGTCGGCGCGAGCCGGGGCTCTGGGCCTTGGTTACTGGTCGAGCAGCGGGCAGGCCGGCTCTTAAGGCCGAGGTGCGGCGTGCCGGCCTGTCACCTGCATCCCGCTGCTCCGCGGGCGGGGCCGCCTTGTGGGGGATGCCGGGCAGGGAGTGGCTGAAGTGAAGTGCTTGAGCTCGTCTGGAAATACGTTCTCTGTGTGAGAAGCCTTGCTTTAGGGGTTGTTATGTTTGTTACATAGATGAATAAACGGAGGGTTCCTGCTGTGGTCTGACCCTTGGTGCTTTTTCTTTTGGAGGCAGTGCTGTCTCTTGCTGACTTGTATGTACGAAGAAATCAGTCAGGTTTTCCCAGCTGTAGCTGCGTGCTTTGCTGTAGTTACTGCACCTGTTGTTACTTCTGCCACCATTGCTGGTTCCTGTGCTGCTATCTCAGCTTTGTTCACTCTGTAGCAAAGCTGAACTTTGACCTGAATGGTCCCTAACGTAGGATGGGGAGCTCCATCCCACTGGCAGTCAAGGCTCTGGCAGTCAAACCACGTGGAACATAACTGCCTGCTGAGACCTGAGTGCTGGAGTTAAGCTGTGTGTGCTAGCTCATTTTGCTGCATATGTATATTGATGGTGATAAGTGGATGTAACTGCTCTATTTTTAAGCTGTACTTATGCTAATTCATGGAGTGGAGTATGCTTATGTAATGGGCAGCTTATTGATTGCTAAGTGTCTCCATAACTCATTTACTTTGTGGTAGGTGTTTCTCGTTTCAAAAACACCGCCTACGCTCTGCTTTTGGACTATGGACTTTTCAGTAGTGATTATTACAGCCACGTTCTAACCTTTATCAAAGCGCAAATTAATTCTGCTGTAGCAGAGGTTGAGGTGGTTTTTCTTATGACTGTACAAACGGGGAAACATGGATTTAAAAGTGTCTTAAACTGAGCACAGACAGCTGAAAGATGTTGGCTGCCTTTTTTGTCAGGTTTCATTGTATTTTCTTAATGCTCTGAGTATAAGCTTCGGTGGCAGCTGTGCAATTTTAGCTTCTCAGCAAGTTAGGGTACAGTTAAGTGTGAATACATTGGTTGATATGTGGGCTGCATCTAAAAAGCATGGTCTCTCTCCTTCACAATCACAGGTTACAGGTTACTGCTGCTTTCTTTGTAATGGATCTGATGGTTGCAAGGACAGTTGATCCAACAATTCCAAGGGGGTGTCCTTCTGTCAGTAGGAAGTTATTCTATTGAGTGTTTGGTACCGTATGAATGAGAACTTTCTCCTTTTGCACTAATGTGGGTTAAGGTGCAGTTGTACCTCGAAAAACTGAATCCCAAAATGCTCATTCAGTAGAGTAAGGACTACACTTTAAGCTGCTGAAGTTTGGATTAAAAAAAAAAAAAAAAAAAAAAAAAAAGGCAGCCCCTATGTAGGAAATAAGTGGTAAGAAGGCAAGGATTAAAAATCTAAAGTGACTTTTAGTCCCACTAATTCTCTGTGTGTCAAAGAGCTCCTGTGCAAAAGAAGAGAAACCCCTTACAAAGTGTTTTTTAGACTTTAAGGACAAGAGTCATAAGGGGAAACAGTATTGTGTCTTCCTGCAAAAGCCAAACTGAAATTACACAGAGAACCCTTGATTCAGGTACATTCTGACATCTCAGTCTTAGCAAATTTTAACTTCTGTGGAGTTCCCTGTTTTTTTCACAGAAGTAATCTGAAAAGAAAATTAAAGTGTTCACTAAAACATTCATGTGGAGTTTTAGCAGCATTAAGGTTACTTGATCCAGCAAATCTTTTTTCCAGTCTCACAAGTGGGAGACTGGCATGTATTTCATCTGCTTCTGCAGAGCCTCTGCTTCCTCAGCTGCTATTTCTAAAGATGCCAAACTGAATTCTTAATCACCTGAGCTGCCCTAAGCACAAACCCTGTGCTTCTGCTGGCTTCTGCTGTCCAAGTCTTCTCCCGATGGAATTTCACTTCCTAGTTTTTGCTTTATCGGTCTTAATTTATTTTCTTTCTTCCCAGTCTTGCCTTTGGCTGGCAGGCTGTCATCTCCCCTGCCCCACACATCGCCCTCCTTTGCCAGAACATGCACCTCATTGCTTTTGCTGTCTTCCACTGCAACTCCTTGAGACACACAGGATACCTGTCTGGGCTTGTGCTGATTGTGTACAGGTGATGTTTGTTTTCCTTTCTCCTTTTTTCTTCTCTTAATTCATACTCTTCACTGACCCATTGTTCGTTTGTTTCTTCAGGTTGTGGTGTTGAGAACAGGCAGGTAAGATTCCCCACTGTCTGTATCTGATATTGAGTTGCGAAATTTGGTTTGATGATTTATTAGTTATGGATTGGTGGCAGCTGGCTTGTTTGTGCTATGTGTGTTGGTCAACACTTGGAGCTATTGGAGGGGAAAATGGAACCTTTAGAGAATTGACTTTTGAAACAAATCCCTTCTGAGTGTGTGAGAAGGCCTGCAGTTTGTTTTCGTGTGCCTTTTTGTTGGTCTGTCTGGAAAGCTGACCACCACTGAAGACAGTTCTGCTTTGTAACGGCCCTTGTTGCTGCTGCAAGCACAGTGAGATGCTAGAGGAAAATGTTAGCAGACTTCTTTAAGCCTAGACATCATCTCTCTCTGTTCTTCTAGATATTTTTTTCTTTCAAGTTGAGCTCGTTTGCTTGTGAACTTGTTCTACTATTAAAAAAGTATATATCCTTAATTCAGTTTGTGTTTATTGGGGTTTCTTATATGCTTAGAAGTACAGAATGGGAGGAAGCTTTCTGATCAATATAAAAACAGTTATTCTGCTTAGTTCACTCACTGTCTTTTAACAAGTTTAAGAAAATGAATTTACTTTTAATCTGACAATGGATTTATTCTTTTCTGGGATTTAATTGATGCAACTGTGGTGTTTTTTTTTGTTTTTTTTTTTTTTTTTTCCTAAATTTTACTGCTTTTAAAAATGCTTTTCCAAGGCTGCTACTTTGTGGTATTGAGACTTCTACACTGTTGAGTGCTGCTGTCTTTTTTGTCACCCATTGATATAAGCCTGCTGTTGATGTCCTTTTGAATAACAAGAGAGCAAGTAATGCTTTAGTTCCAGCGATTCTTGATGGTACAGCATAATCTTGAGTGCTTTGAGCTCGTAGCATTTGTGCTCTTCTTAAGACATCCACTGTTGTTCATGATTAAAATCAATGTATATCTGTTTGATTAAATGAATAGACAGCCCAGTGAATCTATATGAGGCAGTTAGAAGGCTTTCCATGTTTTGCTTGTAGAAAGGGATTCAACTTTTCTGAAGACTGTTCTAATTTCTTACAAAAATTAGTCTTTGAACTGTGGCAGTGTTCTACAAACTGCTGTGTCCCTAGACGTGCTCACGGACTGTTTTGTGCTCCTTCACCAAGTCAGTGTAACAGCTGATGTGGTTGTAACTACAAGAGTCAAAAAGCAACAGAACACCCAGGCTTCTACAGGAAAACAAGAAATAAAACTAAGCACTTCATTTCTTTTGCTCATCCAAACAGAAGCAGTAGTAAGCAGTGCAGGTTCTGACAGGTCCATGTAGTCCTGATCAGTTCTGAGTAGGTGGGGAGTTACTTTCATCACCTGGGATCTGGATTGAGAATCAGTCTAGTGATGGTGATGCACGAAGCACTTCATACAGCACTGATACAGTTTTAAAAGTGGGGAGAACAATCACAGAACAGCCAGGGTTGGAAGGGACCTCAAGGATCATGGATCTCCAACCCCCCTGCCACAGGCAGGGCCACCAACCTTTCAAACATTTGATGCTAGACCAGGCTGCCCAGGGCCCCATCCAACCCGGCCTTGAACACCTCCAGGGATGTGGCATCCACAGCCTCTCTGGGCAGCTGTTCCAGCACCTCACCACCTCATAGTAAAGAATTTCTCCCTGACATCCAACCTCAATCTTCCTTTCCTCAAAAACCTGAGAAGCCTTTATTCAGTTTGTTGAGCTCTCAGAGGGACAGAAGCAGTAGATGAAGAGTCGAAACACTCCTTCCCCTTCCTTTAAACAGTATTTTTTTTTATGTCTGAGTAATTAATTCCACATCACTTGGTAATTTTGCTCTTAGGTTTCATTATGGTTTTTCTTAATCTAGTGCTGTTATTGATTTTTAACATCGATTTGCTCATTTTCCTTACAAGAAACAATCTACAGACTGCATTTGTTCGGATCAAGCATTAGCATTATGTGTTTGAATTCAGCAGATAATTGGATATCTTGCAAATTACTCAATGGGTGTTTCATCTTGAAACATTTAAAAATCCATTTTAGTTTCTTGTAATGTTTTAGTTAGACAGCAATCCAAACTTAGGACGGCGCTTTGGCAGCGATATGCTTATTTTTCTAAACTAAGCACAGTTTCAGTGGTTAAATTTTCCTTTCATTTAAATATAAGTTTTAATCAGCGTAGGCCAAACTTTTCCAACCATGCTTAAAATTAGCTTGAGCCATATTTCAGAAGATGTGTTCTCCTAATGTGATTGAACATATGTAGAGAGATGTATGCGGCAATGAATGTTTTTAAGCTGATTAATGCTTTTGAAGTGTTTTTATAACTTAAAAACATTTATAGACTGCCTAAATATGTCTCGATACTAGTACTCTTTATGTAATTAATACCACTGAAAGCGCTTCATGCTGTGTTTCTGAAGGTTGAAAGGTAGCTGTTTGGAAATGCGTTGTGAATTCTACCGGCACGCGGCCAAGTTACAACATCAGAACAAAGTAAAATGCAGGTGGTTTTGGAGATGGGTCGTGTTGTACCTCAGGCGAGGTGTCACTGCCATGTTCTGGCAGTGTGCTGAAGGTGCAAATGGGTCTGTAGCAGATGTTAAGCTTTGTGTGGGAAGTGCTCAACATTGCTGCTGTTTCTGAGGATGTACAGAAAGGGTCTGATGCCAGAATTGACTCTCGGGTGGTTATTACAGCTCCATGAATTGCTGCTAGAAATTTGGTAGGCTCAATCTCTAGAGAAGTATTTAAAACCAAAACCTGTTGCCAACCTTATAGCCCTTAGTATTTACCCAAATGTAGCTTAAAAAAATGATGTGGGGGATGTCCAGAAGGAGGCATGTATGAAGATGAAGGGCACTGCTCTGCCAGCAGCCATCTTTTCAGGTTGCCCCTTGTTAGCACTTGCACTCAGGGTGGTGTGCTCTCACAGAGAATGGTGAAGGTGAATGTCATGACAGGGAGATGTGAGTGGCATGGATGTCCATTACAGGCAACACAGTGGGCTTTTCTGAGACTTGTGGGTAACTTTGACCCGCTGGTCCTTTGGTGAGAATGATTTAGAAGTGAAACACTGGCCGGGTTTGGATGTGGCAGTGTAAAACTTAGTTTGTCAGATGTTTCACTGTATGGGCTTCAGTTTGCTTCTACTTCCTAATAGTTAATTTTAGAATAAGTGTAGGTTTGCTCAGATGGTTAATTCCATTTGCTGTCACATCACTTTTGTTACTGCTATTTACGCTCTACTAGAATGTAATGAATGTGCTTTTTGAGGAAGCTGATAATATTACAGCAATAGTAAGCAATAGCAACTTTTTCATGATTATTTGTGGCTGCATCTTACACTGAATCCTATTAAACTTAGATGGAATAAATATTTTTGGATTTTGCTCCATGGTTTTTCTCATAACCAGGACTGTTACCTGGAATGGAGCATTGTGTGGAGCCTGGTAAAGTAAGGCGAGTCGTTTCCTTCTAGTGCCCTGCCTTGACAGGACCTTTCTTTCAGATTTCCCTCTTCATGTGAGAACATCAGTAAATCTGTCAACTTGAGCAGTCGTTTGCTTTAAAGAGAAAACAGTTTTAGGCATTTATTCCAAGGTTTCTTGCCCGGGTTTGTCTTTACAACAAGTAAATATATCGCCACGGAACTTATGTGTAAGCCATCATTAGACACTGGAAACAATGTTTTGGGAATTGACATACACCTCATATTTGGAAAGAGGGTGTTAGAACTGGTTTAATCTCTCTTAAAGAACTGGAAGATGGAGTATGGCGTTCTGGGAGTGTGCGATCTTTCTGCAGTTTGGGATGGACTGCTCCAGGAAAAGAAAATACAAAGAGATCAGACTTGCTGCAGTTTGTGCTGTCTCCAGGAGATGGATGGGTTTTGCAGTGTAGCTTCCTCAGAAAAATCCTCATGTGTCACTGTGATTTACAGAAAGTGTTCTGCAGGCTCATCCATCTGTTTCTGACCGCTGGCAGTGACAGTGTCTCCCAGAGTTATGGCTTTTCTCAGAGAAATGGGTTCTTTTATTGGGAACATCAGGTTTAAATTTTCTCACTCAAATACCGAGTTTAAAATAAAACCCTGTCAGTTTCCACTATTTCCAGTGTTTGCGTTGGTCTGCTGTACGTTACAAGATGAATACTTCATTATTTTGTTATGTATGGTTGTATCTTTGAGATCCATTTCCATGATTTACTTCAGGCAGTCATTTGTGTGACTTTGTTCACTGAAAAGTTTTTCTGCTTCTGTTACATTGCAGGTTGTTGTACTTTGTGTATCTCAGTGCTACTCTGAAGGAAGGCTCTTGGTCTCTTAAATGTTGAGAAGCAGTTGGTTTTGCCCCTCTCCATTGGATATAGCACTATGTGTTGAGCAGTATTGGCTGTAATAAGCAAGAAAAACATCCCAAATTTAAGTCAGTGCTTTAAGTATGATGTATCTCGTTTAGAATGTGGCAGTATTTATGTTATCTCTTCCCTACAGGACAAATAAATAGAATTCTTTTCTTGTTAAAGTAGTTGCAGTAGGTTATTCTGCTGCAGAACAGCACCATGTGAGACACAGCCCCTTGTGCTGCACACTATGTCTGAAAATACACTAATAGCAGGTATTTTGAATCAGTGAAAGTAACGTCATGAAAAGTTTAGAGGATTTAGTAAGCTTTGATTGCATCAGTCAATGTTAGCATGATTTCCTTAGGGCCTGTCCTCTCTTTGTGCCTTCAGCTTTGCCAAGCCTTGCCCTTGTGTAAGGGCACTAAGCCTCTGAAGTGGCTGTAGCAAATACTTTCATAAGAATAAAAGCTAAAAGCTCTAAGCTATTCAATGATTCCTTTGTTTCCTGTGACCCCCAAAGTGTTCAGATTCTTGTCCTTTTACATGTAGGTGGTGGCAGAGAAAAGTGGTAAGTTTGGCTTTTTCTTCTTGCTTTAGCTTTGCGTGAGGCATCCATAAACTCAGTTAATATCTGCAGTGCTCGTTTGCTTGTCCATGGCTTTGATGCGAG